CTCATTAACCACTTTAGAGAAAGATGGTCCGTCTCAACAACCAGGCCTGGCTCTCCATGAAGGTAGCATCTCCACTTCCTAAGCGCATGCACAATCGCGAGGCATTCTCGCTCCGTCACCGTGTACCGAACCTCTGCGTCTGTCATCTTGCGGCTTGTGAAGGCCACCGGTCTCCAACTGCTGGCGTCGGACTCCTGTAGGAGCACACCTCCAATCCCGTACCCGCTTGCGTCCGTCAGCAGCCTCTTCGGGGCGCCTCTCCGCGGAGGGACCAGAAAGTCCGGGTGGCTCAGGGCACCCTTGATGTGCCTCCAAGCTTCGGTTTGTGCGTCGCCCCACCGCGAGCTCCAATCCGAAATTATGAGCTTTTTTCCAGGGGGCTTGCGCTTGTTGAAGCCTGTACCCCTGAGGACCGCATAAAGGGGTCTGGCGACATCGGCGAAATGGTCGACAAACCCTGCGAAGTAGTTTGCCAACCCCAAAAATCGCATGAGGTCCTCGCCATTTTGCGGTTGCCGTAGATCCCGGATGCCCTGCACATGCAGGTCAGAGGGCTTCATCCCCTGCCTTCCGATCCGATGCCCCAGCACCTCCACTTCCTGTACCCCAAACGCGCACTTAGAAAACTTTAGCCGCGCCCCTGCCGCCAGAAACGTGTCAAGCACTGATTGTAAGCTCTCGAGGTGTTCCTGCGCCGTCTGCGTTCCCATACTGATATCATCCATGAAAGCCCAGACATCCCTGCCCTTCCGACTTCCCAAGATGGAATTCACCACTCGCTGGAACACCGCGGGTGAGTTCTTGAGTCCTTGCGGGAGGCGTACATACCTAAGTAGACCGATGACGGTCCGTATAGCGGTGTAGTCCCGAGATTCTTCCGCCAGGCTAACCTGAAAAAATCCATCCTTCAGGTCAAACGTTGAGAAGACGCGCTTGCTGCCCATCCAATCCAAAGTACAGCGTACGTCCTCCATGGGGTATGAATCCCCAACTGTAGCCGCGTTTAGGCCTCGAAAATCAGAAGTGACTCTCGTAGAACCGTCCTTTTTTCGGACGAACACATTACATGCTGCCCAGGGAGAAGACGCGTGCTCCACCACTCCCATCTTGAGGAGCCTCTGCATTGCTGTCCGCTCCAACTCGTCCTCCTTCGGAGATCTGCGTCGGACCGGGGAGCACACGGGCTTGGCGCCTTCCATCAATGTGATGGTGTGTTGCACTCCTCGGATGTGTCCCAGGCCTTTGAAAACCTGGCGCCGTGTCCATAAAATCTGTCGAAGCCTCCTTTGCAAAGACATCTCTGGATGAAAATGAGACAGGTCTAACTCCCGAATTGCGTCATCCACATCCACATCCTCGATCGCCCCTGCTGTCTCGAGATCCAGCCGGATTTCCCGCCACCGTGACACTTTCCCTTCCAGCCGCCGCCCTTCCGCCTTGATTTTGCCTCTCATGGTACCGAGGTTGAGGATTAGGCCGTGCCTTTTCCAAAATTGACTCCCGAGTAGTAGTTTGGAAGGCAAACGCGATGCAACTCGTACTGACTCCGAAAAAAATCCTCCCCAAAGTCTGAAACGCAGCGTTCCCCTTCCACAGACGCCCATTTCATTCCCATCTGCTGTCACAGCACGGGAACAATCTGTCATCCATACTCCGCCGTGGTCCTCGAACCACCTCCGGTCGACCCACACGGACCGCGCCCCGGTATCCAGAGGAACCCAGAGGGCTTCGTCACCGACATCTACCTGTACGGCGACATCTTCGCGACCACCGGGATCATCGTCAGCGCAGCGACATACAGGCTCCGCGCCCGCTAGCGGCACCGCCGTGCCACTAGTCGCTAGTTCCGGTTGGGCAGTTGCGTCTCGCGACCCAAGGCGCTCGCCCTCCCTTTCCCCATGGTCGGCACTTCCTTGCTCCGTGACCGGAGAATTTTCTCAGGACAGTCTGCCGCAAGGTGTCCCTTGATGCCACAGCGGTAACATTTCGCTGTCTCGATCCAGTCTCCTGGTGACCCTCCCTTGACCTGCCCACCAATCGGAGCGGCCGTCCCGCGGTCCGCGTCTGCCGGCCTTTCGGAAGTTTGCTGTACGCGCTCATGTCGGAACCGCGTTCGATTAATTTCGGATGCTCTTGCTAGCGTCATCATGGAAACACGGGATGTGACTTCGTCAAATGTTCCCGGAATAGACAATGCCAAATTGCGCATATTTGCGGGTAGTGACTGTACGAAGCGATCCAGCATGATCTCATCGGAGATCGTGTTGGGGAGCATCAGGGCTGATGCTCGCACACGGCCAGCAAAATCACTAACCGTCTCCTTGCCTTCCTGCCAACTGCCAGTATCGAACTGTAGACGGAGAGCCCTTCTATGGCCTGCATTGCATAGTCGCGGACCTAGTTCCTGCCACAGTTCTTCTGCCGTAGATTCCAAGTTTTCCGCAGCGACTGATTCGTAGATTGCCAAAGCGCTTCCTGAAAAAGCACAAGGGAGAAGGCGGCGATGGTCTCCGGCCATGACTGGGAAATCATGACAGAGCCGGTTCCACGCCTTTTGTGCGGCAAAAAAATTGCCGTCGCCGGGCTTATCAATTCGAACTGGTTCCATCGCACTAGAGTAAATCTTGAAGGCTGCATGGGGCTGCAGAACATTTCGATTGTTCTGTTCGACCTGTCGTGCCTGTGTGAGCTCGACAGATTGGTTGAAGCCACATCCCTCATCGGGTTCCTTTTCGACAATTGCACCCTTCTTGACTGTGCTTCTGTCAAGTCGCATACATGTCTCGACTGCGACGCTGAGGTCGGTCACGGAGTCTCCGACCTGTACCACAGCGGCTGTGTTTCGGCTCAAGTGCTCCAGTATCTTGCCCATGACGTCCTTGACCGAGGCCAAGGCCTGAAGCAATATTTCATTTTGATTCGGATCAGCTCGGAGAACGCTTTGCCGTGTCGCGGCTGTGGCGGGTCCCGCAGGAGTTACTGGGCTGATAGCTTCTGCCACTGATGGGCGCTCGTCCGCACCAATGCCCCAACGTTCGGGTTCGGGATTGTGGTTTCCGTCCGGACTCATGTCGGCCCTTTGTCCAGAATCCATTTCCGACGCAAGTTTCTCGTTCGTTGCTCGGTTGACTGCACTTACAAATTTGTAATGTTGTGCCCGGTTCCTTGGGCACCGTCAAATCAAGTTTTATTTGCTGGCCAGAGGCTGTTGGCGGGAATCCACCCGGTGCAAGCCTCCGCTCGTCGAGAATCCACTCGACTTCTCAGGAATCCACCTGATCTCGGCCTCTCCAATTCCCTTGATGCCCTCCTCCCTTTTTTCCTCCCCCCTGCCGCCGCGGGTTCCTTTTATGCTACCTACTCTGCGCCCTCTCGCCACCTCGAGCGCTCGGAACGCTGTCTCCCCCGCTCCGTCTCCCATCCCCCGCGACCCCCTGGCCCCACACATGACCCCCCTGCGCCCCTTTTCCCCTTCGCACAGTCCCCGCCCTTTCTCTTCGCGTCCTCCCCGCGGCTCCGCTCCCTACTTCCAGGCGCAATTCTCCCGTTGGCCGGTGCTCATCCGTGACCACGCTTATTTCCTTTCGCAGGCATTGCCGCCCTTTCAGAGAGCTTCCCACACGTGTAATGAAGCGCAACAGTACAGTAATTCAGATTTCTTTAGGAGAATTTTTCTTACGTGCCCCTTTTATTTTGGAATTTTCCTTACATACCCCTTTTCATGAGCCCCATTTCTTAGGAGCGCTAGATTGAGTATGTGAGGAGGGTGAGGAGGGCGTCACAAAACTGAGTTTGATCAAAGGGAGCATGCATGTTCCCTGACAAGCACAGCATTTTGATGGCATCCTTGGCCATGCGCCACCGTGGGCCGATCTCACAAGGTAAAAAAGTCAGACTCTGGGCGCCTGCGTATACAGTGCCCCCCAGGAGTGCTCATACATCGTGAACGCCCAGCCAGACCGCAGGGCAAACAACGGCTTGTGAAAATTGGGATCGCAGCGCGTCAACGAAAGTCGCGTTGCGCCGCATGTGGTCAAGTTGGGCACTACGCTACGACTTGCGAAGCCCAGACGTTGTGTACCTCAACCGGAGCGTCAGTCGGAAGTGAGGTGAAGAAAGGGGCACGCAAGAAAAATTCCAAAATAAAAGGGGTACGTAAGAAAAATTCTCTTTCTTTAATCCATCAAAAAAAAAAAAAATGCGTCCACTTGACTGCCACAGTGGTCGTCGCCGCCCAGAGCCGCAGAAGGGCAAAGATCGTCGCATGTGTCACTCTCTCTAAAGCCCAAACCCTTGAATTCCCTTTCCCGCAGCCTTCCCGGCCACTCGTCAAGAAGCGTAGCACCCCCCAACCCACCCCGATGACCTCTCCAGTGGTAGAGGCGCTGAAGCGCGCCACCGAGGTCACGACGGAGCTGAAGAAGTTCGGCGGCGCAGTGCTCTCTGCCACCGACGACGTACCTCCGGGCGGCTTGGAGGGTATTTCCCTCCTGCAAGCCAAGTCGGCGACGCTCATGCGCTACAACTACAACCTCATCCGCCTGGCTCAGGCCCGTATTAAGGGCGAGCCAATCAAACCCTTCGCCGAGAAGCTCGTGCAGGACTGGGTGGCGCTGGAAAAGATACGCCCGCTGGAGCGCAGGCTGCGCAACCAGATTGACAAACTGCTCAAGACTGCGTCGCGGAAGAGCGCGGAGCCGCTGGACGACGCGGAGCGGCACCGCCCGGACCCGAGCGCGCTCGTCGTGAACTCGGACGAGGAAGGCAGCGAGGCGGAGAAGGAGGACAGTGTGTATCGTCCGCCGAGGCTGGCGGAGGTCGTATATGACGGCGGCGATAAAAAGGCGGCGAAGGAGAAGAAGGAGCGCGAGCGGGCGCGCGCGCGCGCCGTGCGCTCGGAGGGCGTGCGGGAAATGCTCGCAGAGGTCAAGGGGCTGCCTGAGGAGATTCGCGATGATGAGATGGGCGGCGCGATGAGGAGCGCCGCGGTGCAACGCTTAATGAAGGAGGACGAGAAGAGACGCCAGTTCGAGGAGGACAACTTCACCAGGCTCAATGTCACCAAGAAGGACAAGAAGAGGAGGAGGGACCTCGAACGCGCGACGGAGGGGCCGTCGATGGAGGGTGCGGATGAGTTCACAGGGCTGATGGCGGTCGCCGATCGCGTCATGGCGGGCAAAGGAAAGAAAGGGGCTGCGAATGCGGGGCGAGGGGGCGGTGATGTGGAGGAAGAGCAGTACAAGTTGCAGAAGCTTGACGAGATTACTGAGGCCATGGAAACGGGCAACAGAAGAGCATCTTCGCGATCTTCTAGCAAGCGTCGGAAGCGAAAGTGACGAAGTGGATCTGTGTAAAGTTAGAAACTGTATTGATGGGAAGTCTCTCCTTGCCGACTGCCTGCCAGGCACGAGCGAATATCACACACGCGAGCGCATAGTTCTACTCGCCTTTATCTCACAGACAAAGCAGCCCAGGCTCCCCCCGTACGCCCTGCGCCACGCAAGGTGCCGCCCCGGACAACAAGCGAAGGGTACCGTCGCAAGAGCCGTTGCATAACAGTTGGTGTCGGGAGCAAGACACGCATCTCTCTAGCCCTCGTGGCAGCCATATCTACTCTAACCACCCAAATCTCAACCTGTCCAACATTCCGCACGTTGAGGTCGCAAACGCCAGCCTCGACGCCCACCCACACCTGCACCCTGCCCCCCGACGGCAGCTCAACCGTCCCTCCCTCCAGTCGCATGCGCACCTCCCCCTCCTGCACGGCGGGCCCATACCGGGTACGCAGGACCACTGTAACAGTTTCCGATTCTCGCATCACGGCTGTGAGCGACGGAAAGGCGCGCTGCGCCCCGCATCTCACGGCGGCCACACCCGCCACAAGGCGCCTGTCCAAGCGGCGGCGCGCCAACGCGTCGCGCGGCACGCCCCGCGCAAGCACGCCGCGCAGCACGTCCACGAGGTGCGCCACGCCCGCCGCGCGGAGCGGCGGCGCGAGCGCCAGCTGCTGCAAGGCGCGCAGCGCGTCACGCACTGCGCGCTTCTCCGCGCAAGGCGCGAACAGGACCAGGCGCACGCGGCGGCGCAGCAGGCCGTGCCGCCGCTGCTGCCGCGCCGTGCACTCGGCGAGGAGCAGTCGCAGCGACGCGGGGAGGCTCGGGACCACGCGCGGGACGAGGCCGAGCAGGCGCGAGAGCAAGGCCAGGGAGCGGCTGTGGCGGAGGTGGTGCGCCTGGATGGTGCGCGTGAGACGTAGTATGGCGGAGAGGCGGCGGACGTCCGCCGTGCGCACGGCGAAGGACTGCGTTGAGATGAACGGCGGGACGGCCGCGGCTGGGATGGGCATTGGTGAGGAGAGTGCAGAAGCGCGTGAGGGAAGCTGAGGGAGGTGAGGAGGTGGGCGCGGGCGAGCAGGCTTGGCGCGGCGGCTTTCGCATCGGGTGGGCGTTTGCGCTTCAGTGACGCTCTCACAGATGGCTCGTTACGACATCGTGCCTCTTCCTCAATGGCCTCGCACGGATCCGTGGCCTGGCGCGAAGATGGCATTGTTCATGTGCGTGCAAACCATCTTGCTCGCCCTCTTACGACATCCTTGGTCGCACCCGGCAAGCAGCCACATCGCCTGCTTGCTATGTGTTGACTTGACATTCCGAGAACTGTTCTGACTCGTCGAATTATATTTCTTTTTGTGCGGGAGAGAGAGCCCTGCACGGAAGGACTACAAATATTAATTCCTACAAAAACATCATAACGCCAACCATCCAGCACAGCAACGCACCAGTTGTTCCCCCCCTCCGCCTCCGCTGCGGTCTCCACAAGCTCCGTCCCCATGAAGCTCCCCACGGGCACGCGGCCCACGCGTACAGCGCGCAAGCGCAAAGTAGCGTCGCGCGTGCGTCAGGTGGACGCGACAGCGCTGGCGGCGGCGCGGCGGCGGCGTCTGGACGCGCTAGAGAACGACAACCACGCGGCGGAGCAGGAGACTGCGGCGCTGGCGGGCGAGGACGAATACGACCCTGACGCGGACTCGGATGACGCGCTAGTGGGGGGGCGCGCGTCGAAGAAGCGCGTAGCGAAGCGTGCGCGCAGCTCGCGCGGCGCTCGCGGCGCGCGCGGCGCCCCGGCCCGGTCCGCCAAGCCCAAGAGGAACGGCAAGCGCAACATACAGCGCTGGAATAAGACCCTCGCACAGGCGCTCGAGGAGGAGACCCCCGCCAGCAGGCCCGGCGGCATGGTGGCGTATGACGAGATTGAGGCGCGGCGCAGTCAAAGGCCTAGCAGGCCGTTTTGTTCCGTGTGCGGGTTTCGAGCGGCGTATACCTGTACAAGGTGCTTGGTTAGGTTTTGCTCGGTGCCGTGCGGGAACTTGCATAATGAGACAAGGTGCCTGAAGTTTACCGCGTAGAATATCAAGTGCCGAAGTGTGAAAGGTGCTGCTCATTGGGGTGACAAATATAGGATTGGGAAGGCCGAAAGAGCCGACCCGAGCCATGAATTTATTCTCCTGCCGTCATAGCGGGCCGCGAAGCACGCGGACTACCCTAACCTAACCGACTACGACGGCCGACGCGAGCCCAAACACAAAGCAATAGAGTGGGATATAAGACAATACATAACATAGAGGGGAGGGGGGGGGGGGGGGACGATTTCGCAAGTCAGAATAAATACGTAAGCAGACGTGTGCACAGCCCCAACAGAAGCGACTAGAAAGCGACAAGGCGCGCGCTTGCCTCTCCCACCACCCAACGACCCCGGCAGTCCAGTCCTACTTGCCCGCGCCGCGCGACAGCGAGGGTAATGTCTTGGCGCGATTGAAGGCGTCGGCAAAGTTGGCAGCGGCGATAGCGAGGGCTCTCTCATGCTGGAGCGCCAGGCTCCTGCTCCACTTTGCCATGTTCTTCGCCGTGAGCTCCGTCATGACATCCGACTCGGTCCTGAGCTCTGTGGATGTGCGCATCCAGACGGGCTTGGCGGCCTCTGCCAGGGCCTCGTAGTAGCTGCGCTTCTCGTCGCTCTCTGCCATATCGGCGTTCCTCTTGTACTTCAAGTACTGCCCCTTCTGGTCGATATACCTCCTCCGCAGCGGGACGATCTTGCGGTTGTACCGCTCCTCGAAGCTGCGCTGCAGGTCGTTGATAGGGGTGCTGAGGGCGACGGAGAGCTTGATGGTGGCGTCCGAGTGGCACGCCAGGCCCCTGCCGAGGGCCTTCTGGGCCTCGCGGGCGTCGATGGGGAGGTAGTTGGAGAAGTGGTCCGGGGCCGGGCGGCTCTTGTGCGGCTCGGCCACGGCGAGGTCGTCGTACTCGTCGGGGTGTTGCGAGGCGTCGTCGGAGGTTGCCGGGTGCATGACGTCCGTGAGAGCGTCGCCGAGTGCGCGCTCCGAGCTTGCCGTGGCGACCAGCATGTCCTTGTGGTCGTTGGCGGCGTGCGTTAGGTCGCGGAGAGAGAGGCGGACTTCTTCTAGGGCGTGGATCGAGTGGCCGAGCGGGCGGTCCTCGTAGTACAGGTCAGGAGTCTCGTCCGGGGGCGGGGCGGCGCCGAGAAGCTTGGAGGAGAGGGCGGGCGGGAGGAGGGCTGCGCCCGAGGCGAAAGTCGGCTGGTCGGTGGCGGGGTGCATGTGCGAGGCGCGGTCTTCCGGTCGGCGGAAGACGTTGCCGATAGACTTGAAGAGAGCCATTGGGAAGGATGCCTGGAGATCAGGGAGGGGGATGTGAGTGGGGTAGATAGAGGGGAGGGGGCGGGGGTAGGAGCGGGGGGTGGGGGTGGGGGGAGGGCGACGGGGGAATGGGCGAAGGGGGGAGGAGATGGTTTTCTTTATCTCAGGCGGGAGGGGGGGGGAGGAGCATATGGGGGACGTGGGGGACGTGGGGGAGTTGTGAAACGGCTTTGTGGGATTGTGCCGTTGGCGGACGGGGCGAAACGGACGGATTTGAAAACAGAGCGGATCTGGGCGATGGGATTTCCGCCACGTGTATTTCGTGTGGCGACGCGGTTGGGCGTTTCCGCAGACACGGACGGTAACCGAAAGGAGCGCTTCTGACGTCAGCCTGAGAGTCTGTGACTGGCGCATCGCGGCCCACTTACACTTCCGCCACCGATTCCACGCGTCTACCGCCGCCCACCGCCGCGCACGTCATCACGGCAGCTCGCCGCCTTGCATCCAGTTTCTACGCACGCAGCAAAGCAAAGCAACATCTCGTCAGCAACGTCTCGTCAGCAACGTCTCCTCAGCACAGGACCGTCCCGCTCCGCTCGCGCTCGCGCGCGCGCGCGCGCCGCAACGCACCGGATCTCGGCGACCTCATGCCCGACGGCGCGCTCCTCATCGACGGCGAGCAGCAGCACTTTGCCCGGCGGCGCCTCGTGCACGCTGCGCGCGCTTTTCACCGTTGCCGCGAACACGCATTTCCCGCACAGCTCTGCGGTTAGAAGCCAGCCCCACCCGCGTAGCCCCGCCCAGCCCTCTTCCTTTCTCTCTCTCTCTCTGTCTCACACACACACACACACGTACCTCTCCTGCAGCGCGCGGAAGCGGCGCCTGGCGCGCGCGCCGTCGACGACGGCGGCGACGAGGCAGCAGCCGAGCCTGGCGGCCGCGGCGCGCACGCGGGCCTCGGCGGCATCGCCGCCCGAGCGCAGGTCCACCGTGAGCACGCCCAGCGCCCCGCCGCAGCGCACGCGCGGGAAGACGTAGTCGGCCGGCAGCGCGCGCGAGTCTGCGCGGGGGTGCGTTAGCGGCGGGACCCGCTGGCGGGGGGGGGGGGAGGGGGCGCCGCCTGCATCGGCCCCGCGTCCCCTCCCGCTGTGCCCGCCCCC